GTAATCCTAATTATTTCATAAATATAATTGTTCACAATGCACAATAAAACCAATTCTTGTCACTTTAAATTGAACAATATATAAATTTTAGAATGAGTTTTTTATGAAATTGTATAGTACATCTCGCAATTCCGTATTCCGATGCAAGAGTGAAACCTAAATGTGCACCAATGTGCGCACCACATGTTAAAAGTTAGATAGAAAGCACACGAACTGACCAGAGAATTTAAGGTTTGACAACGCGAGGAGGGTACATATAGTGAAAGCTAAAAACATGACAATTGTGAGGTTGGACATAGTTGGTAGAATTGAGATAAAAATTAGAAGAACAGAAAAATTAATTAAAATTAAAATTAATATAATTAAAACGTCGAATCAGGATAGGAAATTATTTTAGAGGTATGAATTTCGAAACATTGTTTAAAACTACTTGGTAATTCTCACACAGTGAAGAAATATCCACTCTTTTGTTTATGCTTTTTTATAAAGGTGTATGAAACATGATTCTGAAAAGCGTCTCTGCTAAGTATTCGACTCGTGAAATAAAATTGTGGCAACATGAAAATTGAAAATATGATTTTTATTTTTATTTTTGGAATTATTATAATGTTGTCTAAGACGTTTTTTTAGATGTTGTCCAGTTTCGCCAATATAAGTGGCCTCACAATTTATACTGTAAATTTTATACACGATGTTAGAAGTACGATCTAAACTTGTCGGTGATTTTAGTTTCGAAAATAAAATGTTAAGAGCCCGATCAATATTGCAAACTAAATGCAACTCCGCGAAATCAAACAGTTTTTTTCCAAATATGAAAGAGATTTTTAATGTCTGGGAGACAAATAGTGCCGATAAACTTGTTTTCTTCTTTTTTCTGGGACTCGAGGGAAGGATGATTGTGTTTTGTGTTAAGGACGGAAAGCCTATTGTTAATTACTGATTTTATAAGATGTGGAGGATAGCAATTATTTAATAGGGTTCTGTGGATTAGAGATAAGTTAAAAGGTCAAAACTTTTTATCTGATAAGAGAATAGCATGATCAACTAAATTGATAATAGTCATACTATTAGGGTGATAAGAGTCAATTTTCATACTATTAGGGTGATAAGAGTGAAAATTAAGATATCTGCCCGACCATGTTGGTTTTTGGTACCAGTTAGTAATAATTTTATTTTCTTGAGTTTTTATTATATTTACATCTAAAAGGCTAATTGATCTATTGTGTTCTTTTTCAAAGGTGAAGGTGAGATGTTCATTGAAGAAGTTAAAATTTTTTAGCAAGGAATCAAAGTTATTTTCAGGAATGCAAGTAATTATATCATCGACATATTTGTAATAAAGGAAAAATTCAACATTAGATAGTTTAAAGACGTTTAGTTCAATTACCGTTGTTCTATTTAAATATTTTTGTTCTATTACATGTATAATAATTTTTATATATTTTTTAGCTAAGTATCTTAATAATTTGTAATAACTTTATGAAAATATTGTACACTATTCTTGTCATTTTAAATTTCCTTGTTTTGCTTCCTTTTTTCATTTCTACTTTTACTTTAACTTACCGCTTTTTTATTTACATCATGAAGCAAACGACTTTCAACCGCGCGTTGCTCAAACGAACTGACTATTCTCAAAATAGTTACTCCCTGAATAATTCTTTTTACTCGTTTATCAAAAAACATTACGGTTTTTATATTTTGTCACAATTAAAACATATTACCAAACTAAATACGAAATTAATCACTAACATTAACAAACAGATTTTTTTAGTAAGATGCAAAATAGAAAGTATAATTCATAAATTCTATCAATTCAATGCAGACAAATTTTCTCACTTACATGGTTCGAAAATAACAAATTTTCTTCATTAAGTCTTCATATTTTATTCATTGAAATCAAGAATTGTATCTGCAATGTCAATAACTTGAAACTAGCTATTGATAAAACGTACGCTTGGCTCACTCATACTGTTGAAGCGGAGATTCTGCAAAGCTTTTCTGAATACGAGTCGACTCGTAACAACAAATTTTTCATTAAATTAAAAAATTCTTATAAAATTAAGTTCGATAAATTATTGCAGTGTAAACGCAACCTTTCAAAAATAGTTTTAAATAGTACACTAATTAACAAATGGCTAAAAAATCTTTCCAGCGTCACAATTCCAGATAGATTACTTTACATTTTTGCACTGGGTCCAAACTTTGCTATCCCCAATAATTGCCACAATTTAAATTTTATTAAATTTTTAAGCAAACTAGAAGCTGGCCTTCATAACATCAACAATCCGGAAGTAAAATCTAACATTTGTTCTCATTTTTGCAAAAAATTTCTCTCCTACATCAAGTCCTTTAACTCCAAAAAAATTGATGATTACAAAGATATTTTAAGAGACATGAAACTTTGTAAAAACTTTCTAAAAGATAATCCGAACATTTTAGTAACCAGAGCAGATAAAGGAAATGTCACAGTAGTTCTCGACAAAACTACCTATTTAGAAAAAATCACTAACTTAGTTCATGACATTAACGTTTATAGTCCTATCAATAGCGATTCTACAGATCGAATCAACCGCACGTTCCACAAATTCATTAATAATTTAGTATCCACCAAACAAATTCCTCAAGACTTGTCCTTGTCGTTAAAAAACCTACATCTCAACAACCCAAAATTATACGGTCTCCCAAAAATCCACAAAACGAATGTACCCTTTAGACCTATAGTTGCAAATTTGAATTCTCCCCTAAATAAATTTTCTAATTTTCTGAGCAAACCTCTCTCCATAGTTGCTGTTAACTCTCCTTTTTTTATTAAAAATTCCTTCGAATTTGTCAACAAAATTCGTAATACACAATTCCCCAAAAACTCCCTCTTAATAAGCCTAGATGTAGTTTCTCTTTTTACAAATGTCCCACTAGAACTAATTTTAGAGTCAATCACAGATAGATGGGATGAGATTTCTTGCCACACTACCCTTTCCCTTCATTGGTTTCGAGAGTCCATTAAATTTATAGTCGCGAATACCTATTTTGAATTCAATTCACAGTTTTATACACAAATTTTTGGTACACCCATGGGATCGCCTATCTCACCTGCTCTTGCTGAACTCTCATTACAACACCTCGAAAAAAACGTCTTTAAACTATCTAATGTTGAATTTTTCCTTCATTACAGATATGTCGATGATATAATTACTTGCATTCCTGAAAATAACTTTGATTCTTTGCTAAAAAAATTTAACTCCTGCAATGAACATCGCACATTCACTTTTGAAAAAGAACACAATAGATCAATTAGCTTTATAGATGTAAATATCATAAAAACTCCAGAAAATAAAATTATTACTAACTGGTACCAAAAACCAACGTGGTCGGGCAGATATCTCAATTTTCACTCTTATCACCCTAATAGTATGAAAATTGGTACTATTATCAATTTAGTTGATCAATCTTAAATTCTCTGGTCAGTTCGTGTGCTTTCTACCTAACTTTTAACATGTTGTGCGCACATTGGTGCACATTTAGGTTTCACTCTTGCATCGGAATACGGAATTGCGAGATGTACTATACAATTACATAAAAAACTCATTCTAAAATTTATATATTGTTCAATTTAAAGTGACAAGAATTGGTTTTATTGTGCATTGTGAAAAATTATAATTATGAAATAATTAGGATTACTACAATTACATGTAACTTCATACCATATCACTTTCTTATAAATTAGTTTTAATTAATAATTTCTATCTGTGCTTTCAAACTAGAGTCCACTGAAGATGACACAAAACAATGTGTCGAAACGTATGGAAACAATATAAAGGTTTTAAAAGTCATACAAGTTTCTAATTGATGTATTGCCCTGAAGATTGAATTTCACATATCTCAACATCAAAATTATAAAAATTTAACATATATATACGATGTATATATATATGTAGATATAACATATATATAGATGTATATGTATATAACATGTATATATATATATATATATATATATATATATGTATATATATATAAGCAATAAACATATATGTTTATACAATTATCCGTATATATTATTTGGCCTTGAAATTCATTCTATAAGTTGTAAGTCAATATTAGTAGAAAAATATATATTTTGAAATAAATATATTTTAATCAATATTATATTATATTATACATGGATTTTTAAAATACATTATTATTAGATAATAATATATGTACCTATATTGTTCAACTTTACTTTTATGTAGTATACATTTTATAATAAAATCACACGCACATATACAACAACAATATTAATCTACTAGCACTTTTTATTTAAAATAAAATATAGGAAGAAAAAATATTTAAACAATATTCCGCATACTTCACCAAAATAAATGCCTCATATATTAGATTTATAATTGTGTTTTGTAGTAATTATGCAATGATCGGTAATGACTTTCTGACCCATGCACATATTGAATATCTATTTCTCACGTTTGTGATTTTCCTCCAACTATATCATGTTCGATAAAGTACTCCATCACAATTATATTCCATTACAGTTTCATTTACAGTTTGGTCACTTTTTGCAGGATACACAAAATTGTTTCATCCATTCCACAGAACATCCATACCATCATATAACATATAGTATTGCTGCATTCAATACAATTGTGTACTTAAATATTTTAGTTTTATATAATGTTTATATGCATTAATTCATTTTATGTACATAACAATATTAGAAATCCTAATAGATCTATTTTTATTAAGATATCACTGCACTAAATTCATTTAAAGTTCCTTATCAACTTATCAAACTGAAAAAAACTTTTTTCTCGTCTAACACAATTTGTCTATGACTGTCCAATATCCTCATATGTAGTATTACTGCGTTCTTAGGTTGTGAAAATAACCTGTGAGATACTAATGCAGTCTAGTCACAAGTAGAATTCAATAATTCACATTTATGTTAACATATATGTAACTAGTAAAAAATCATTAAGATGTTTCGATAAATGTTCATCCCGTCACATGCAAAGCAGAACTCGACGCTCCCATGCTCAAGTCCAGTCCTGCTGCAGATTCAAGGCCGGGCTAGGGACTGGCCGGTATACTGTCATCGCTCTCCAGATAGGTAACGTAGCTATCCGTACTGTCCGGATGCGTCTGAAGGTCAGCCATATTAGGCGGTGGAGCAGGCTGCTGAGAGTGAAGGCCAATATCATACCCGTGCATCTGTCAACGTTAAAATGTTAGTTAAACGTATTATCACAAGGCTAACAAAACAATATCTAATTAAGTAGAACATCAAATTTGAAAATATATAATCATAATTCACTTCCTGTAGAAACCGATTAAAATTATTCAAAAAGCATTCCATTCCAATTGATGGATAGGCGTGCTGACTACAAATATGGTTATTCAGTTTTGAGAGAATGAAGCATTCAATTTGAATGATTCGAAAAACATTTTACTTATATTGACGGAATAAGAAACCGATTAAATTTTTGGGCAGGTGAGTTCAGCGGTTTCGGAGATATATTATAAAAAAATACCATTTAGCAGTCAAAAATGATCATTAGATATATGTCCATCAAATTATAAATAATAAATACAAGTTTTGTCTATATTTTTATGGGTTCCAAACCATGATTTATATTGTGTAACCGATAGACTAAGCGGGGCTTTCGCGCTTCGAAAGACCGATTGTTTTGAATAAAATTCAAAAATTTTCACGAAAGAACGATTTTTTCATAATTCTAAAAGATCAAAGTATTGAAAAAAAATTAAAGCTTCTAAAAAATTTAAATTGCGGTACGGAAAGTTCCACAATTTGCCTTAAGGTACGATGCCATGCACCATTGGTTATATTTATATTCACCTGGTTAACGAGATGTTGGAATGCAGGTGCATGTTGATGCCCGCCTGCATCAAGGTCAGTGTGTAATGCAAAGTCAGATAACGCTTTCCATGGAGGTTGATATGCAGTCACCTCGAGCGCGTGCAGCGCTAATGGTGAGTCGTGCCGAACTGGCGAACTTGCTACCATAGGAATACCTTGCATTGCTCCGTAGCCCAATTTGCGACCATCCTAATTAAAAACAAGAATGATTTCAAAAAAATTAACTACCTATTCCTCATTTTACCAGCGAAAAAATATGTTTTCAGAAAAGCCAACATTGCTTAAATTTGATTTTCATTAAATGCTTATTGAGTTATTTGTATAATTGCATTTAAAATAGTCGTTATTAATAAAATTGACGTTATTCAATCTTGTAATGACCATATAAATCCGCTATTACAACACATTTAATTGAAAATGCACAAATTTGACTTGTATTCATTGTTATATTGGATGCATTATATGTAAATATCTAAAAGTATAAAATATTAAGATTTCACTTTTATTCAATTAGTAACTGTTATGTAAAATCGTAATTTAAATTGAATAATTAATTTTGAAAAACTCAAACTCAAATTAGTTTTAAAAAAAGCAATTTATACTATATATTGTATATTTCACAAATTGTGAAAATAATATTAAAATGAAAGTTAGAATCAACAAAGAGTATTTTAGTTCAAAAATATATAATTATGTTTATATATTTACCTTTTCTTGTTGCATTTGCAGTTTCATCTGAATTGTTTTTTTCTTATCTTTACATCGTTTGTTCTGGAACCAAACTCTAATGACTCGAGGCGATAGCCCTGTCATTTCCACTAATTGCTCTTTCATCAGCGCATCAGGCCGTGGATTTGCAGCATAACATGTTCTGAAAGAGCAAAAAGACAAAGCATTTAGTTATTTAATTGTAAGAGCATACTATTAGCAAATCATTCTGCGATGTCTGTAAGCCACATATTCTTTATATACATAATTTTTTTTTACTTCTTTGATATATAATAAACCTAAACCGCAGATAAGGAAATTAGAATAACTGTAAATAATTGTAAGTCCATAATAATATATTTTTACATTTATTTGATAACCGAGCGAATAATAGTATAGTTTATCTAATAGCAATTAGATATAACTGGCATTCCTTATATCTCAAACCAAAGCAAAATATCGCTCACTTGTCGGCTCGTAGATATATATATATATATATATATATATATATATATATATATATATATATATATATATATATATATATATATATATATATATATATATATATTTACAAATTTTAATAAACAGAATCGTCAATGTGACACAGAAAGACGGTTTCCGATGCAAATCAACATCGACATGATAATGTGGTACACGAATGAAAACTAGAGAAAATTGAAAACAGAAGCGTGGATACAGAAATTTGAAAAATATAATGTATGAAAGTGAACTTCAAACAAGGAAGAGTAAAGAATTAAAATGCGTAGTTTTATTGTAACAATTTTATAACACATAGTTAATAATTAAAAAACTAAGTCGCGTAACCATTGCTAATTTTTTCACGTGAAATTAAATAATTTTGTTCAAGTCAAGGTCGTTATCATTCTTTGTTGAAAAATTACAGAACACATTTTAGCATATTGCTATAAAATAATGCCTTTCCGTATGGTACTTCGTATAGTAAGTAATCGTCCGAAATCGAAAATATTTTTTTTGCATATCTTTACGTTTTCTAAACATTTTAGCATACAAATGTATGGTGTGTGTATGTATGGATACAATTAATCATCCACATTTCGTGAGCACGAGTCAACTGATTAGAATTATTTAAAAAGCCTTCTATTCTTAATAAGAAAGAGACGTGCTGATTAATTTTTAGCAAAGGTTGGTCTGCGTGGGAGATCGAAAAGAGTGCAGAAAATGGCAATAAAGAGTTTGAGAGAACAGAGCATCCGTTTTGAATTATTCAAGAAACATTCCACTTGTATTGACGCAAAGAAGTATTGATTAAATTTTTGCGAATGCAGATGCAGCGGTTTTTGAGATCCTTAAAAAAGTAATAAAAATGCTATTTGGCAGTTAAAAATTATCATTAGAGATATACACATAAAATTATCAGATATTTTATAGTGATTTTTATTATAAGTACCAATTTTATTTCTATTTCTATGGGTTCCGCATCCAGACAATACTATGTTTAAAGTTACCTTATATAGTTCAATAAATGTCCTCGACATTTTCGACATTATGGATCGACCAATTGGAATGAGTATCAAAAACTCTCAAGAAATTAAAATTCATGTGCGTAACTACCGCCGTATCAGCATTATCAAAAGGACAAGGATTCCAACGTCCGTAGCAAATATTAATGGCGATATCAAGCAGGCTGGTTTTGATTGGTAAAAAACAATCGGACATGTCATGTATATTTTTGATATCGAAATATTTTTACAGTTAATAAATTTATATTTTTTTATTATGTTGGGAGTTTCTAATTTTATATATTATTTATTTATTTATTTATTTATATAACTTTGTTATAATGTCATTAAAAAAAGAACGAGGAATGTAAAATTATTATTTTAAAGAGTTTTCCTCCAAAAAATAAAACCCCAAGCATGCGCAAAAATTAGTAGATATCAATAAGACTTTATTCCAAATCAATCAATAATATATAATTTGAAATAAATCAACCAGATTTATTCTAAATTTTTATGATTTTTTAAAATTAATAACTTATCACAGGTTCATGATATTTTAGTACTTATGATAGTTATGATCATAGAAAGTTTTATCAAAATAGTCAATTTAATTTTAAGAACTATAATTATGAAAAAGCTGCCCAGGCGATATATTCCAAACAGTTTATGATTTTGAAACAAGGGCGAAAATTTTAGCACTCTTCTCTTAATTTCAAGGAATCGACTCGGCTTATCGTTATAAACCAGTGATTCCCAAAGTGGGCGCCAGCGCCCCCTTGGGGGCGCTGCGGCGATTCTGGGGGGCGGTGATGGGCTTTGGTGTATTTAGGGGGCGATGCTCAGTTGTAAGGGGCGTTTAAAGCACAAAACTAAAAAAATATTATAATATTAATATTATATATAAATAAAAAATTAAAATTGAATTATATTAAAAAACACTGAATTATATAAAGATAATATTTTAGTTGAAGTTAATCAAACATATTTGCATAGGTGTATTAGTAAGTAAATCAGTTTTAAACTATGCACTGCCAATTCTTGTTTCGCAAAAGGTTTAATGAAAAGTATGGTTCATATGTTTCTTTGTATGTCGATAATTTATATAACTTTTCAAAGCGTGTAACTTTACCAAATTTTGTAAGGGATTCATTAAGAGATTTTTTGTAAGAGAATCTGTAAGATTGGCGGATTATTTGTCGTGCTATTGATTATATTTCTTTGATATCTACCCGTAACTGTCCACCCGCGTTTTGTAAAATATATTTATCGGGGCCTAGTATAATTCTTTCGTTACCTAAAATTTCAAAAAACGTATCAACACCTATCAACATATTTACTTCGCGCGGAATATTTAAGTGTGAATCCAAAAGTTTTAATCCATTAGGAAGATTTAGTTCAGCAATTTGGATTTGCTGCGTGGGTAGTAGACTCAATATTTTCGTAAGCACAAAGGCATTTATATTTTTTTATTTTTTGCAAATGTGCCATCTTCATTAAATATTTCTAAATTTGTAAAATTATTCGATTTCGTTGAAATTCCAACAAAACACCGTGGAGTATAAATCCGCTATTGCTTGAATTTGAACGCGACTCCCTTTATGACTTTTTGCGAACAAATTTACTGTAGGTACGAGCGCACCCCCCTTCATTCCTTTTCCCTCACATTAAAATTATAATCGAAATACATCGATTGGCTTTTAAATTTTTAAAATCGGTTTATGCGCTTTTAAGCAAACATCGTTGAAAATTCTAATTTTGACAAACGCCATAAAAACGATACTAATTTTTGCAAACTTTGACGAATTTTCAAAATTTAACGACTTGCCGTAGGACCGTAATATTTTAGTATGATCTATAAGACTGTGGTATCTACCGTCAAAAAAAAAAATATAAATTGTCTAAAAAATTACTACTACTTATTAATTACTACTACTTAAATTAATAAAAACACTTTATTACAAGAAAACGGCCCGGCCGATCATTACTAAGAACTAATCAGGTCGATTCCCAACCAATATCTTTGGAACGGTTTTTGAATTTTCAAAATAGATTCAGAATTGCGGGCTAAAACGTGGACGAAAATTTTTTCACTTTTCTGCTATTTATAAAGAAGCGGCTTGGCCGATCGTCGCACAAACAATAGTCCTCATCGAGATACATCGAATGGCTTTTAGTTTTTTGAAATCGGTCCAGTCGTTTTTGAGAAAACGTCGATTTACGGCAAAAAATCTGTTCACGCACACACACACACATACTTTGTCCAAATGTTGGTCTCATTCGATTCAGAATGGCTTGAAACGTCGAGAAAACATAAAATTAGCAGATTTTTTGATGAAAACAAACTTCTCCTTCGGAAAGTTTGTAAGGGGGGCGCTGAGTAACATTTTTTCTGGAAAGGGGGCGGTAGGTGAAATAAGTTTGGGAATCACTGTTATAAACAAACATTTCCTGGCAAAAACATAAACTTTTCCTTCGGGAGGTGAAATTCTTCCATGATGCAGGAACAGCAGTCAGATCATTATTGATTGTAGAAGCAGAAACTTTATCAAAAATTATAGCCATTATAAGCAATAAATGATTTAATAAATGTGTATATTTAATTTGAATTTTTTATAGAAATTTTGGGAAAAGGACGGATGAATATTGATGATTGATGAAGTAAAGATTTATTAATTTTTGTAGGCGCTATAAAAAAAATTTGATACGGGGCCCCGATAATGCACGCTACGCCCCTGTTAAAATTAGTTATTTTTAAATCGAAGTTTTCAAAAATTATCAAGATTTAAAAATTTTTCAAAAAGCCAATATTTTTGCAATTTTTTCAAAAATGTTCTAATTTTTTACATGTTATTTATATTTCCATTTAATAAGTATTTGAAAAAAATCAAAATTCTGAAAAAAAAAAAGTTTTTCCTTTCTATTCCTTTAGAAATTTTAAATCACGGTTCGGAAAGCACGATGCCATGAACCACTAGTGAATGCCAGTTTGATTGCACTTTCATTTTTAAAAAAATATTTTTAACTTCCCGTAGGATAACTTATTGTAATCTGAAAATGATTTTTTTTATATTTTCTTACGTTTCAAAGGCCTCTGAATATTTTGGCATACATTAAAAAATTGATGTATGTGTGTGTATGTGTGTACGTGTGTGTACAATGTGCGGATACAAACTTTCGTCGACGATTTCGGGAACACCGATCAACCGTTATGAATAATTCAAAAAACATTCGATTCGTATTGATAAAGAGACGCGCTGATTAGTTTTTGGCGAAGGCAGGTCTAGCCGTTCCGAAGATACGGGGCAAAAGGTGCAAAAAAGGGTAACTCAGTTTTTAAGAGAACGGAACGTCTAATTTTAATAAACATTTTACTTGTATTGACAAGATGAAGAACCGATTAAATTTTTGGGCAGACAGGTACAGCGGTTATGGACTCTCAATAAAAACTAGTGGGGTGTATGGTACTTCCCGTACCGTAACGGAATGTTCGAGGAATACTGAATGTTTTCAAATAGATTATTATTAATATTGTAACATTGTCTAATATTTATAAGAATTATATAAAATGAATTGCAAAGTTAAAAATATTTGTTTAAAGTATATTAGAACTATAGTCAGAATTAAAAATAAAATCTGAATTATTTTCGATATACAAACAAATTTTTTTTGAAAAAAAAAGTTGAAACAATCAATTATTTTGTTAAGACAAGCAGAAAGTTCTTTGAATCATTCAAATCGGACGCTTAGTTCTCTCAAAAACTGCCATTTTTTTAACATACAGCTCTGTATCTCCGAAACCGCTGGGCCTACCTTTGCCAAAAACTAATAACCACTTTTCCCCGTCATTATGAACTGAATGTTTTTTGGATCATACACATCGGATACTTTTCTGAGGTATTTCCAAAATGTTCAGAAACCTTCAAAACGTCGAGAAATGTAAAAATTTTCAATTTCGATTTTCGGCCCATTACAATAACTTACCCTACGGGAAGTTAATAAGTTAAATAAATGTCATTTGGCGGTCAAACATGTTTATTGGACATATGTACATCAAATTATCAGATATTTTATAGATATTTTAAATGTGTACACATTTTGTGTAATTTATTTTGGATTCCGTAACAAGATTTATAATTACGGTACGGAAAGTTTCAGCAATTTGCCTTAAGGCACGATGCCATGCACCCCACTAGTTTAATATATAAATAACTAGTGACACGATGGTTGTTAATAGGTTTATTGTCGTTTTTTTTTTTGTTATAAACCATGTACGTATATACATATATATTATGATGTCTTCAAATATAAAATCCTTGGTTATATTATATGTATCCTTTTATTAAAAGAAAAGTTAAGTTTAATTTTATTTGAACGTCTATACAAAACGAACACGATTTATATAAAGCTATTTCTTTTTAACTTACCTTAATGTATGCAGCTGTTTCTCATTCAGAACGGTTCGTACTCTTGTAGGTTTTCCATCTCCACTGCCGGCGCTCCCACCGCCTAGTCCTACCGCTCCGCTTGAACCCTTGCTCCTCCCTCCGGAGCCGCCCTTATGGGAGCCGGACTCGCTGCCCGAATCTGATACACACGATACACAAATTACATTATGTACTCACGAGATATATTATTTCGGATCGTAAAGAAACTTTGGTATATGGCTTACAATAATATTGTTACTGATAATGAAAAAAACAAAAAACTTTCGGTTCGTACTGACCGCGCGACGTACTGTTTTTTTTGCGAAAAATCGTTTTGGAGGTACGAAGCGCAAAGAGCTCAAATAATGGTCATGAAGTTCTGTGGAGAACTATCAGCCAATTAGAATGATTCAAAGAACATATTGCTGGTGTTGATGGTGTGAAGAATTAGTTTTTGAGGAAGGTAGGTCCAGAATTTTTAAAAATATAGTTACGATAAAAATTACTATAAAAAAACCTAATTAGTGGTTTATGGCATATGGCCTTAAGGCAATATGCTAAACCTTCCCGTTCCGTAATGATGTATTCGAAGAATTTTGATATGAACTGAGTTCTAAGGTTTTTATTTTATTTCAAGTTTATAATTGAGCTTCAAAATTTTAGGTAGAATAAAAACTGAAATCTTTGCCAAAAACTAACCAGCACGCCTTGCCGTCAATATGAATCGAATGTATTTTGAATCATTCAAATCGGATGCTCCGTTCTCTCAAAAAACTGAGTTTCCAATTTTGGCACTTTTGCCCCGTATCTTCGAAACAGCTGGACCTGCCTTTGCCAAAAACTATTCAGCAAATCTTCTTATCAATAGGAATCGAATGTTTTCTGAATCATTCAAATAGGTTGCAAATCGTGAACAAAAACTTGTATCTATACAAAATACATACTACACACACACACACATTCACACACATCAAATTTTCTAAGCTATACCAAAATATTCATGAGATCTTGAAACGTAAAGATATGCAAAAACTTCAGTCGATTTTTAGACATACGGGAAGTTAAAAATTATAGTAAAAAATTAGATTTCTCAACAATTTAACTCAGAGTGACAAATTTTGAAGCAAGAATAAACACACATTGTACGTCGTCCATAGTTGACACCCTATAATTTAATTAATTTTTATATAAAAACTATTTTAGTAACGTTTTGCAAAAACTGTTACGACCAAGTAATTTATTAGCATACCGATTGAAAATATAATGATCCTTGAAATATAAACATTATTTTCTCAAATCTTATTGCGGTTTCAATCATTAACATTTTGTGACATTTCTTTCCTATCCATTTCAAATACAATATTTATAAAAAAATATTTTTTACATTCATTTGAATAATCTGTAAATATACCAACCTGACATGGAACCCAGTTCGCTAGAGTGATTATTATTATTACTGCTTATACTATTATTATTGTTACTTTCGAGAGCTCCAGGATGTGTCGTTTGCGTTACAACCCCTTGCTGCTGCGAACTTTTTTCCAAGGCATCGTGATCTTCTTTGCAATATAGTGCACCCCCTGTAAGTAATGTTCGTATTACTAAAAGATAATAAATAATTTTCAACTAAGAAATATTTAAAAGATTTTCTTGTCACATACTTATCACCTACTTGTTTTAATTACGCTAAACAAGTTACTCTTACTTAAATAAATATTTTTTGGAATATATGCACATTCATTGACATTTGCTAAAATAAAATTTTGCCTTGAGGCAAGTTACACGAACTTCCCGATATGTGTTGTAGGCGTATGGCAACGTCGCTATGTTAAGGGTAGCGCCGGATGGTGCGTACGGATGAGAGAACAGGCAGTCGGTCCCGGGTTGTTGTCGCGATAAGAGATCTATGTATATAAACTGTCAATAAACTATTATTATAAATTAACATACGCATTTCATTGGTAAAATACCAAAGTAGGTGACCCCGACGTGATCTAGTGTGTGTGTTAATTTTAAATGAATTCTCGTGCGAAAAAGTTAAGTGCAGTGGAAAACATGAGTACGCCAGTAGTAGTGCCCCGCGATAACGTAAATTTGCCAAATTTTTACAAGTGTGTTTGTAAACGCAAATGTGAAGGATGAGAGTTCAAAATTTCATACGGTCGTTAGTAAGTTGGACCCGCGGTATGCGTCGGAAGTTCGCGATATAATTCTGAAACCCCCTAAAGATAGTCCATATAGAGTGTTGAAAAAGGAATTGTTGAAACGGTATGGCATTTCCGATGAAACAAAGCTACGCCAGTTGTTGGAAGGTCAGGAAATGGGTGATAGAACCCCATCACAGTTTTTACGGCACCTACGCTCATTAGCGGGTTCAGCTGTTTCAAAAGAAATGCTAAACTTAATGTGGTCGTCGCGCTTGCCTACGCATGTGCAAGCGTTAGTATCTGTACGGGAAAACAGTGACATAGACTTGAATGCGAAAGCCGACGACAGAATTATGGAATTGGAGACAGCATCTGGTGCAACAACGATGGCCATTGCAAGCACATACTCGCACGCGCACGACGATTTTTACGGCAACATCGCGTCAGAATTGCGGAACATGCGAGCCGAGATTTCTGGCTTGAGAAAGCAGGTAGAGGACCGACGAGACGGTTCATCCCTTCGCCGTAGGCGCAGATTGCGTACGCCCGCAAGTACTCGGTCAGGTTCGGAAGAGCGCGTACGAACGCTTTGCGAATATCATCGACGGTTCGGTCGGAATGCAACGAGATGTCGATCGCCGTGCGACATGCGTTCGGAAAACTCCGTGGGCCATCGTTATTAGCGGCAAACGATTTACGCCCAGAGAGACAGATAAGCCGCCGTGTTTGCCTAAGTGACAGAAAGAGTCAGGTGTCGTACCTGATTGATACGGGGTCGGACGTTTCAGCGTTTCCGCGCTCATTATTATGCAATCCAAATAGGAAGAGGATTGCATACCAGTTAGCCGCCGCAAATAATACGACGATTGCAACCTATGGTACGGTGGCAATGGTGGTTGATCTTGGGCTACGTCGCGACCTGTCATGGAACTTCATTATAGCAGACGTTACGCAACCAATAATTGGTGTAGATTTTCTCGCTTACTACGGTTTGATTGTGGATGTGAAAAATCGTCAAATAACGGATGCTATGACAGGATTAAGGGCGCAGGCGGATATTGCAGCGGGATCAATAGCGACTATAAAGGTGGTAACGGGTTCAACGGCGTACCATAAGTTGCTTGAAAAGTTTCCTGGTTTAACACGACCAGACGGCGCTGTTAGGTTACGCAAGTACGCGACGCAACACCATATAGAAACAAGTCCTGGACCGCCGGTGGTTCAAAAACCGCGGAGATTAGCTCCGGACAGACTACTGGCTGCTAGAAAGGAGTTTGAAGCTATGCTGAAATTAGGAACGGCTCGACCATCGAAAAGTTGTTGGGCAGCCCCGCTACATATGGTTCCAAAAGGGTGTGATGAGTGGCGTCCATGTGGCGATTATAGAGGTTTGAATGCGCGAACGAAGCCTGACAAATATCCAGTACGCCATATTCATGATTTCGCCCAAGCCTTAGACGGAAAAACTATATTCTCGACTATAGACTTGGTGAAAGCGTTTAACCAAATTCCGGTGGCGGAAGAAAATATTGCAAAAACCGCTATTACAACACCGTTTGGACTATATGAATTTCCTACATGACGTTTGGATTGCGCAACGCCGCGCAAACATTCCAGAGATTTATCGATGAGGTGTTGCAAGGGTTAGATTTTTGTTACGCCTACATCGATGATATTCTTGTAGCTTCGTCGTCCGAGGAAGAACATATGGCGCACCTAGAGACACTGTTTGGTAAACTTTTGGAATTTGGAGTTCTAATAAACCCAGCTAAATGTGTGTTGGGCCAAACAAGTGTATGAGGTTTCGGCTGAGGGTACTCGCCCCTTGCCAGAGAAGGTTGAAGCTATTAGGACGTTCACAAAGCCAACGACAACGCAAGATCTGAGGCGGTTTTTGAGCATGCTAAACTTTTATAGAAGGTTCATACCAAATGCCGCTCAAATTCAAGCACCGTTAAATGAGTTTCTGCGTGGAGATCCGAAGAGCAAAACCCCGGTAAAGTGAACAGCGCATACGTCAGCTGCGTTTGAAGCGTGTAAGGAGAGTCTGGCTCAAGCAGCACTACTATCCCACCCACACGCTAATGCTCATTTAGCTATTTTCTACGACGCTTCAGAACATTTCATTGGAGCCTCATTACAGCAGCAGGTCGCTAACAGCTGGCAACCCTTGGCATTCTTTTCGCGAAAACTGAGCACAACGGAACGGAAATACGCAACTTACAATCGTGAACTACTTGCAGTGTATGAAGCGGTGAAATACTTTCGTCACATGGTTGAGGCAAGAACTTTTACAATTTTTACTGACCATAAACCAATAGTGTTCGCGTTTGTCAAGAAGGATAGTCAGTGTTCGCCTCGTCAATTCCGATATTTAGACTTTATCGCCCAATTTTCGACCGATGTACGTCATATGTCGGGAGAGAAAAATGTTGTCGCCGACGCATTATCGCGGGTGGAGTCTCTAAGAAGTGCCGGAATAGATATGAAGTTAATAGCAGCGGAGCAGAAAATAGATGAAGAAATAGCTAAGTTGCGCACCGAAAGCAACACGTCGCTCAAACTGAAACTTATTCGATTTGAGGACCAAGACGTGTCAGTCTTGTGCGACATCTCTACGCGAACAGCTAGACCGTATGTTCCAACAAAGTTACGGCGGGCGGTGTTTGATAGCTTACACGGATTGTCACACTCCGGTATGAATGGTACGATCAAGCTAGTTACACAAAGACATGTGTGGCCGTACATCAAACGGGATTGCCGCGAGTGGGCTCGATGTTGCGTCGCATGTCAGCGTGCAAAAGTCAGTAGGCACGTGCAGGCCCCAACTGGACAATTTGAACTTCCATCGAGTAGATTTGAGCACGTGCATATCGATATAGTGATAATGCCATTGTCAGAAGGATATCGGTATTGCCTTACATGCGTCGACAGATTTTCGAGATGGCCGGAAGCAATTCCAATTAGAGACCAAGAAGCTTCCACCGTAGCGCAAGCCTTCTATTCTAATTGGATTGCAAGATTTGGTATACCGCTGCGGCTAACGTCAGACCAGGGAAGGCAGTTCGAGTCACGAATATTCAGTCAACTGAATCAGCTGCTTGGAACGAGCCATTACAAGACTACGGCATACCATCCCGAAGCCAATGGGATGGTTGAAAGATTCCACCGCCAGCTCAAAGCAGCTATTAGGTGCCATAGCAGTGAAAGATGGACAGAAATATTACCGACGGTTATGTTGGGAATTCGTGCAGCATGGAAAGAGGATCTGCAAGCTACTGTTGCGGAAATGGTATATGGCGAACCCTTGCGATTGCCTGGACCAATGCTACACTTAACACCGACGAGTGATTACACCGAAAGAAACTTCGTGAATAACTTGCGTAATCACATGCAAAAGATATGTCCCATCAATGGAACGCGACATGGCCAGAAGAGAACATTTATATTTAAAGACTTAGCGACTGCGGAAAGCGTTTTCGTTAGAAACGACGGCCCAAAAAGACCTCTGCAGAATCCTTATGAAGGTCCTTTTGAGGTGAAATCCAGATCAGCAAAGACTTTTGTGGTATGTATGCGTGGCAAAGATGTCACCATATCTATCGACCGTTTGAAACCAGCATACACACTAACGCCAGAAGAAAATGCTGAATCCGTTCCGTCACAGTCTAATGAGATTCCGCAAACAATCCAGTTGGAATCTGTTAACAACACCAGATCTCAGCCGTTGAGCCCGACAGAGCCTGAGCCGCCGGATCGGTTCCCGGATGAGATCGGTTTCCCGGGTTTTGGCAGGACGGATTTTCGTGAACTTCGTCACTAGAGGGGGAGTACTGTAGGCGTATGGCAACGTCGCTATGTTAAGGGTAGCGCCGGATGGTGCGTACGGATGAGAGAACAGGCAGTCGGTCCCGGGTTGTTGTCGCGATAAGAGATCTATGTATATAAACTGTCAATAAACTATTATTATAAATTAACATACGCATTTCATTGGTAAAATACCAAAGTGTAAATAATCGACTTAATCAATAAAAAAATAATTTATGAGTGATTAAAAGTATTACAAGTGGATTTATTACGCATAATTGAAAACGAACGAACATGTTAACTCGGAGTATTTTCTAAAAGCAAATTTTCACAAATCAATAATTTGTATAATTTAACCAGTTTCCGTAGAACTTTAATGGTTTAGTCTTTAGTATGTTCATTAAGACTATGTACTCTATCGTTATTTATTTATTTATTTATTTATTTAAATATATAGCCCACAGATTTCTCCAAGAGGACTCAAAAATACAATTATTTTACATAATGAATAACAATTAAAAGATATACAAAATTACAATATATAACATAAAATGCTAAGATAAAATTGCATATAATGCAGAATGTAACAATAATATTTATAAACAGAATAAGAAAATAATGAGATATTTGAAAGAAAATAAAAAGATTAACTTGTGCAGATGGAGATCATTTGATTAGGTGAAGTGTTGTGAATGTCTATTTCATTATTAATTAAGTTAAAGTTAGAGGACATAAGTAAAATTGGCGAATTTAAGAGAGAATTAGATTTAGGGGTAGGATAATTGAAAAATAGTTGTGAACGCGAAGATAACCTTGGAACATTAAAGGATAGTTGATTGAGAATAAGAGGACAGTCTATAGAATTATTGCAAAGCTTAAATAAGAACATAATTGTACAGATAAATCGACGTGAGGCAAGGGAAGGAATACCAAATTCTTTTAGTAAAGTGTTGTGGTCAAAGCCACGTTCAGGGTAAATTTTATATGTTTTATAATAAAGGTATTTCAGAAATTTTCGCTGAACCTTCTCTATCGCATCAGAGTTGTTGATATGATGAGGATACCAAATAATCGAACCGTATTCTAATTTTGAACGTACAATAGAATAGTACATGCAAAGAAGTGCATTGGTAGACTTAAATTGTTTACAATTTCTTAGTATCAAACCTAAAGATTGATGTGCTCTATTACAAATATCAGTTACATGATCAAAGTAAAGAAGTTATACCAAGTAAATCATCTAATTTTAATTTTAACAAACGTCAAAAAAACTATTCATTTTTTCAAATTTTGATGAACTTTTAAAATTTAACTACTTGTCGTAAGGACGTAATATTTCAGAAGTTCTACAAGACCATAAAAACGGCTCGGTAGATTTTCTCCTAAAACTAATCAGTATCATTATCAACTAATATAAAGTTGTCAAATATCCCTTCCGCCTTTTTGTCTTTTGAATTTCGCGGCTATGTACAAAGCGCTACAGAGCTCGTATCTGGCAATACTATACATAATTTGAAAGGTCTTGACATAACGTACAAAACGACGCTATGCATGATTATTTTGGATATTGCGTTCAACAGTTATAGACGTGTAAACATGGAGTTCACTAACGCCGAAATTCGCGCTATTTTAAAGTTTTCCTTCGTTAAAGGCAAATCCGCTAGAGAAACGTTCCGTGAGATTAATGGTGTTTTGGGGGATGGTACTCTATCACTTCGAACCGCGAAAGAATGGTTTCGACGATTCAGAGCCGGTGAAAACGACACCATGGATAAGCCAGCCGGCGGAAGACCTGTGACGACAAATACCGATCAAATCATGGAATACATCGAGTTAGACCGGCATGTGGCATCTCGTGACATCGCCCAGGAGATGGGAGTTAGTCACCAAACCATTTTAAACCATCTGCAGAAGGCTGGATACAAAAAAAAGCTTGATGTTTGGGTGCCGCATGATTTGACGCAAAAAAACCTTCTGAATCAACACCTGCGATATGCTGCTGAAACGGAACGAACTCGACCCATTCTTGAAGCGGATGGTGACTGGCGACGCAAAATGGATCACATACGACAATATCAAGCGAAAACGGCCAAGCCGGGATTGACGGCCAGGAAGGTTTTGCTGTGTGTTTGGTGGGATTGGAAGGGAATCATCCACTATGAGCTGCTCCCATATGGCCAGACGCTTAATTCTACCATCTACTGCGAACAACTGGACCGCTTGAAGCAGGCGATCGACCAGAAGCGTCCAGAATTGGCCAACAGGAAGGGTGTAGTGTTCCACCAGGACAACGCCAGACCACACACTTCGTTGATGACTCGTCAGAAGCTACGGGAGCTCGGATGGGAGGTTTTATCGCATCCACCATATAGCCCGGACATAGCGCCAAGTGATTACCACCTGTTCCTGTCCATGGCGAATGCCCTTGGTGGTGTAAAGTTGAACTCAAAAGAGGCTTGTTAAAAGTGGCTGTCCGAGTTCTTCGCAAATAAGGAGGGGGGCTTCTACGAGGGAGGTATTATGAAGTTGCCGTCTAGATGGAAACAGATTATCGAACAAAACGGCGCATATTTGAACTAAATCCGATCACTGTAACACTTTTTATAAAGCATTGAATAAAGAGCAAAAAAGCGGAATGGAGATATTTGACAACCTTTTATCTTTCGAAGAGTTTTTCATTTTTTAAAATCGATTCGGTAGTATGAGATTAAATGTAGATGAAAATTTTAACACTTTTTTCTAGATTACAAAGAAATGGCTCGGCCGATCGTCGCACAAAACTGAAAAAACGATAATCATCATCGAGAAACATCAAATAGTTTTTAAATTTCTGAAATCGGTCCATGTATTTTTGAGCAAACGTCAATGAAACTTCTAATTTTGACAAATGCCACAAAAACGATACTCATTTTTGCAAACTTTGACGAATTTTTAAAGCTAAACGAGCTGTCGCAGGAACGTAATATTTTAGTATGATCTAGTTCTAGAAGACTATGGTATCAATCGTCAAAAAAATAATAATAAAAATCGACGAAAAAATTTTTTTGAATATTTGTTACAAGAAAACGGCCCGGCCGATTTCTACCAAAAACTAATCAGCACGATTCCCAACCAATATCTTTCGAACGGTTTTTGAATTTTCAAAATTGCGGGCTAAAACGTGGACGAAATTTTTTTCACTTTTCTGCGATTTATAAAGAAACGGCTTGGCCGATCTTCGCATTAGTCCTCATCGGGATACATCGAATGGCTTTTAAATTTTTGAAATCGGTCCAGCCGTTTTTGAGAAAACGTCGATTTACGGCAAAAAATTTGTTCACACACACGCACGCACACACACACATACTTTTTCCAAATATGGTCTCATTCGATTCAGAATGACTTGAAACGTCGAGAAAACATAAAAATAGCAAACCGGATTTTTTGATGAAAACATAAACTTCTCCTTCGGGAAGTTAATAATTAGAAAATAAATATTGTTAATTAATTTAAATCGTTGATGTAAATCCAAATCCAAACTTTTCATTAGATTGAAGTTATTAATAAAAAATTATATGGAATAATATTCACGTTTTGTAAAAAGCTATAAGATAAGCTTTTGGAGGCAATTGCAATTTTTGCATAATGTTTTATCATTTTGCTTTAAGACGGTTTAAAATAATAATGAGCTGCAAAGATGTCATTTTGTACACAATATTATAATGTGCAATTTGTCTAAAACAATTTTATGACCGATTGCATAAGAGCGCTCGAACCAAAGGCCAAAGAGAGTTAATTTCAAGAACATCGGATACACTGATGTAATTTGCAAACATTGGAAAGGAGCTAAAATAAGGCAGATAAATGGACATATTCTGACGTACAACAGACCAATGTTATGGCAAGGCCATTGTTACTTACATACATTATACTACTGAATCGTACTGAATTCTGTCGAAATGTATCATGTATTTGCTGTGCATTCAGGTGTTTTATACATGAATGCAGCGTCACTTGTATGCTATAAAGCTGGGTCAGAAAGACCTTGTTATCTAAGATCGTTTTTTTTTTGACATTTGTGCGGTTTTTAGGTTATGTTTTCTTTCTGACAACCTAAGAAAAACGTCTGACTGCACAGCAACTACATGGCTTTTCAAAATATTTAGAACGAATTAGTATGGAAAGTTCTACAAAATATAACCTTATCATAACAGTGGTCTGTTATACGATTTCGAACAAATCTATACGTTGCGGTATATTGATGATTTCAGATTTATGATGAGTGTGACCAAATATGGTGCGGTTAAAATAACAAATAACAAATAGTTACTATTATGAATAGAGCAGGAATTTGTATTTAAGTTATATTGAGAAAAGAATGATTTCTGTACGATATGTTTTCAATGAACAGTGCTTACCTTCCCGCAACGCAAACTCATCTCCAGGTATCAGCTGGCGGGCGCACGCGCAACATCGAAAACACTCTATATGATAAATTTTAGTTTTTGCTCGCATTACGAAATCATTCTTGCTAAACGATGATCCACATTTGTCGCATTTTGTTCCAAACAATCTGAAATGATAGTAAAATCTATATATTATAATATAACAACGAAAACAAAGTCATGAAAGAATAAATAAATCATTATATCCATATTAACATAAATTCAAAATTAAAACTAGTCTTCTGTTCTATACTAAAAACGATAAGTCCTATACTAAAATCAAATGAGATTTAATCAGTGATTGATCATACCCAAACAAATCAATCTGGCAGAATTAATTATTATCAGTAACATAATGTATATCCTAGGTAATGATTGCAATGTAGTGGCATATGTCACCTCAAACATGAAACATTTAAAGGGTTTTAGTATGTTTGCCTTTCCATTAGAAGAGATATTTTTAACTCGATGTTAAATATACGTTTGAGCTCTATATCAACTAAAATAGATTAACTGAAAAGGGGAACCATTTCATACAATACAATGAAAAAACAATTCATCATAGTGTTTTGTTCATTATACTTTTGTCATCTCAAATATGTCAATAAAATTTTCTTTCATGTTTTTCAAGAAATATCTCTAATTAAATGACCTTATGTCTAAATAATATTTATTTTTTAATAAATTAATAATTATTTTAAGTCATCAATGAATAAATTATATAATTGTTTAATTCATAAGCTAAATCAATACAGGTATATTGTGGAAATAAATAATTTTTTACATAAAAATCTGATTTTTGATATTTGCATTTTATTTCAAATTAATTATAACTGTCAAAATACTTTCTTTTCGGTCTAAATTTAATATAATCTGATAATATTTAGTTTGTCTAGTTTGTATTTCTCAGATTCCAATGATACCCTCAGATTATACTATTCCATTTAAGAGGTCACAATTTCCTGTAAGATTAGCATTTGCCATGACAATCAAAATATATCTCAACTGATATATTAATAATAATATTATATTTTAATTACACGAATTTCTTTACACTTCGATAATTAATTCCAACGCATCATAGTGTTTTGTTCATTTTAATTTTGTCATTTTTTTTTAAATTAATGATTAAATTAGATTTTAGTCTAAATCAACGCAGTATCTTTATCTAAATATACATTTTTTTATATAAATATTTGATTTTTTACATTTGCATTTAATTGAAAAATAGTGAATGTCAATTTCATATATCCAATATGCACTAAATTTATAAATGTTTATTTAAATTTTTAAACATTGATTTTTAATTAGATTTAAAACTATAAACAGTGATTTTGAATATAGCATTTCATTTAATTTGGATATAAATGTTGGATATATCTATATATGTATATGTTTTCGAATTATATTTTTTGAACTGTCAATTTTTTTTCAAAAATAAATATTTTTTTCTCGAATTTTCCATAAATTTTGACATTTGTCATTTTAGTTTTGTTTTTTTTTTTGGCCATTTTCTGTCAAACTTTTTATAATTCAAAGATTATATATTTATATTTTAAATTTACTAATTTTAATCTTCCTGAAGTTTGTTCGGGAAATTTTCTAGAATGTTTTGATTCATAGAAATATAGTTAGATTGTAGAAATAAATAGAAAAAATTACAAAAAACCGCTTATCATTGTTTGCCTTTGAAAATATTTGAAGCTTAGTTTGACATTAAAAACAATTGAAGACTGTCATTTGCCAAACATTTCTATTCAATTATAGGCTAAGGCTAAGGCAATAATAAAATGTAATATATTTATTGTTATGAATAAGAAAAATGTAATGTCTACATTATTATAGCCGAAAAGTAGCTGAGATATGTCAAAAATTAAATTAATATAAGACGCAAATAATATAACATGCGTCTGACAGTCTGCGCATGCGTCTGACGTGCACGGCGAATCGTGTTCTCAACGCACTTTGCGAACAGATTCGCCGTACGAATTCGTGCAAAGGAGACGAGCCATAAGTGATTGCGCTCAAAAATATTCAATTTGCAGTCGTTTTGCCTTACTCTACTAAGTCACAATACAAAAAAAATTATTTAGAAGTTTCATTGTGTCAAAAATTCATATGTTTGTCACTCTTCAGAAGTGAAAACAACACTTTCACCACTTTTCGGGTGGAGGACATTTCTTTTCAGTGGTGTAATTTTACTTTTTTCAAAATAACGTTGGGTATCGGTAAAAGAACTAATTATAAGAGAAACTATCATGCAAATAAAAGACGCATATAATGTTTTTTCATTTAAATCAAATAGTTTTTCAGTGCTATTTCTACCAAATTTAAAAATAATCGTATTCTATCTAGAATTAACTTGGTTTAAGAGATCTTGCTGGATTCTAGAAAATACCACAACTTTAGTACAAACGATTTTCAAAAAACTCATGATTTCATGAAAATTCGAGGTATTTTTCTGACTGATTGTTGTTTATTATTTTTCCATTACACAAATATTGATAGAGGTATTAATTAAGGAGTGCGCGACTGTCCCAACCAGAGGTCTTTCGAGCCCTTTAACCCTTCGCCGTTTCACAATAAGAGAAGTTATGGTAAAATTTATGATAGAGAAAGTTGTAGCTCATTTAATCACCTTTAAAATAGTGTATTACAAGTTTTGATAAAATTAGAATTAAAAGAGTAATAATCCAATTAATGCGGTGGATGGTGACGGAGTGCAAATTGTTTTCACGTCTGAACTTAAGATAAAGATTAGCCTATTTCCAAAATATCAAGTAAATTGAAGCACAGTAAAAAAATTCACAGAGCGATAATTTTGTTGATTGTAAGTTGAATAGAGCACATGTGAACAGGATTTGACAAATTAATTCACTTCAAATATAAACTTAAGCAATAATGTATATTGATTTATTGGAGAAAAAAATGTAATTTAGATATTAAAATTACTAAAAGCCAGTTAAAATATGGTACGAAATTATGAAAATTATAGGCAACATTATTGAAGCAATTATTTTGGGTAGAAAAATAAAAGGTGATATTGCACCTTTGCCGCGAATGCTAAATATTAATTCTTTCTGAATTTGTTGTACTTTTTAAAAGATTTCAATTTTCAACACGTGTATCTTATGCTATGACCATAAATCACAAAGGCAGACGATCATTTTTAGTGTGATAAATTTGGAAAATCAATGTTTTAGTCGTGAATAAACAAAAAATCATTCATTTATACATCCACATCTACAGGTATGACTAAAAATACTATATAACCCTTGAATGCAATAAAATAAATTGAGCTATTGGAAATAAATTTGTTCTATAAATCGCAGTGTATAATTTTTAATATACAATTTTATTGAACATTTTTTAATATTTGTTAAATGAATAATTAAAGTGTTAACTGTGGGAATTGAGAACAATCATTTTATTTGAAACAGTTCTATATTCAGCATCACTCATATATTGGTGTAAATAGTAATTCAAAAAACAGTAATTATTATTTTTAACTAAGCAGTAAATATTAGTATAAAATATTGAAAAATTGTAGACGTGGGTACAGAACAACGTCTGTCGGGTCAGCTAGTATATATATATATATATATATATATATATATATATATACATATATATATTAGGTGGTAGAGTCTTGGATTTGTAAATACTTTGTAGAGCTTCGAACAAAGAATCCAAAAAGTAATAAGAACAAAAAAGTTTTTTTTTAAACAATAAATTATTTATTTACTGTCGACGTTTTGGAACTAGAAAAAATATATTTTTTGCATATCTATAGATAGTAGGATCTTGGATTTGTAAATATTTTATAGAGCTTCGAACAAAATGCAATCTACGATTTATTTAATTTTGCAATTGCAAAGATATGCAAAAAATTAAATTACCATTATTAATTTGTTCAATAAAATATTTTATAATAAAGATTATTTAATAATTTCTAAGATAAAATTATGGAATATAATAGGTACAATGACAGAGAATGAAAGTTCCTAATTTGCATTTTGTGCAAGCAGGAAATTGGGAATCCAAATTGTTGTAAACTGTAATAAACGAGTGTCATTCAAATTTATACACTGTAGAAAGGCTTTGAATTATAAACAGCACGCAAGTTCTAAACATTTATAAATAGTTGTCAATATGTCGATTTCAATGAATCTGCGTATGATGCGTAAATATACAATCACTCAAGCTTGTTTAAATATCTATGTATTTATAGAAAGATTCCAAAAATAAATCTTGTAAATTATTGTTCACTTATTGTCAAAAAGCATTTACTTATTATCACTTGCTACTTTTGGTTTTAATAAAAATAGATATAGCTAAAAACAAAACGCCGATTTTTTATTCAGATTTTTAAATACACTTAATTTAAATATGAATTAATAGGGAAGATAAAATTTATCAATATAAAATTTTATCAAAAGATACAATCCAAGCTAAATATTTATCTTTCGCTCATGACAAGTTCTTGAGATTGACAACTATGGTTGGTTAACTTCATAATATAAATTTCTCACTTTGTGGGCAAGGAATTCCGGCCCAAAGCCCTCAATAACGCTTGTAAAAGTTAAATCTAAAAAACTATAGCATTAATATCAATTTAGTACTGTTAACTGAAATCATAGAAATACAAAATATCGAAGACCCAATTATTATTCACTTCTCATCGAACTAGGAAGGAGGATTCAGAAACTTTGCATAAGTACAAGATATTGTATTTGTATAACATAACAAAATAAATAATAAAAATAATAAATATTTGTTTATCAGCAAACCGACCTAGTGCCGAATAAATTATAATTTTTTTATTCGAGATTAGCCCTAAAGAAGAAGCTACACGATGCACGCGTTATAAAAATATAATATTGAGATATTGGTAACATGGTGGCGCTGAATTGCACCACTAAAACACTCAATTGGATAGCTAAAGTATAACTTTTGTCAGTTTTGTGACTACCAATTCATGCGACAAAACAACATGAAAGACCGGTAACATAACATAGCTATTTTATCCGAGAAATAGTCCCATAAAATAGAAATTCTTAAGAGCATTTTTTTAAATCAAAATATAAAAGTAATATTGAAAGTAATATATAAAAGTAAAATATTTCACTAATCGTCTATTAAAATATCAATGCCAAAAAGTAATTTTGTTATTTGTGCTCTTTATTTTAAAGGATATTATATCAAGTTCAAGTATTATATAGTATCAACTCAATTGCTTTTTTTCATAATCGATATTAATTTTAGAAATGTGGGCACATTGAATTATGAATATAATAATTGGACTATCGTCAGACATGTGCAGCAACCCACGGATGAAAGATTTTAGTCAAAACAGGAGCAACCCACTTTGTTCCTAGGAATAGAGAGTGAAGAGTCTGTATTGCCGGTAAAAACATTCTCCAAGTACGTTGGAAGCAATCACGTTGTGGCAGCAGGAGGGAGTCACATTAAACGAATGTCAAATTAATGATGTTTGTACAAAATGATATCCATTTCCAAATAAGATATGTCACTAGTCATATCATGCGGGCATGTGTAGAAAACCATACGGATAGATACCAAGTTGAAGCAGTAATATACTTAAAGATATAATATCGTCATTTCAATTCAGTTTTACAGATAATAGCAGATAATGCCTAATCTAATTTTAAAACATATGTAGACATGTGTCATGCACAACCCTTTGTGAGGTCGACCTCACGCCTTTTAGGCGAGTAGTTATCTTGTATATGGTGCAGGCAATGCCGTCAGATTTTAATATCCTATAGTGGTGAACACCGCCACCAGTGTTATTGAGTGTATCAAATACAATTCTACTATATTGCTTTCAAAATTATAAATTAAACTAATTGTTCATGGCATTGTGCCTTAAGGCAAATTGCGCACCATAATTAATCATTCGAGGAATATAAATAATCAATAATCAGCAAAAATTGATCATTAATTATATTTTAACTTCCCGCAGGGCAAGTTATAGTAATCGCAAAAAAAATCAAAAATGAAAATTGTTGTATATCTTTACGTTTCAAAGGTTTCTGAATATTTTAGCATACCAGTGTGTGTGTATGCGTATGTGTGTGCAAATTTTCGTCGACGATTTCGGGAACCTCGATCAACCGATTTCAATAATTCAAAAAAACATTCGATTCGTATTGATAAGGAGACTTGCTGATTAGCTTTTGGCAAAGGCAGGTCTAGCTGTTCGAAAGATACGGGTCAAAAAGTACCAAAAATGGTAAATCAGTTTTTAAGAGAACGGAGCGTCCGATTTTAATAACTCAAAACACATTTTACTTGTATTGTCAAGATGAATAACTGATTAAAATATTAGGAAGGCAGGTCTAACGGTTACGGACTCTCAATAAAAATAAGTTAAACTAGTGGGGTGTATGGCATCGTGCCTTAAGGCAAATTGCAGGAACTTCCCGTACCGTAATTAAACAATCGAGGAATGAAACTAATCAATAATTGTTTTGAATAATTTCAAATAGATTATTTATTCATACTGTAAACTTGTAAGTGATTTTTAAATTGTGCGACAAGCGTATTTTATGAACAACTTATGTGTGCGTTTACAAGAGGCGGAGCCCGAGACCTTTCCAAACAATGCCAAATTGTCGAAATCGGTTCGTGCGTTCTAGAGTTAAATCGTCAGGAAGAAAAACCCGACTTATTTATATATATATATGTAGATTGTAAACTAGACAATATTGCTTAAGAACAATAAGACAAAGGCAAATTTTTGGAACTTTTCATATAAAAAAAATTAAAAAAACTTTTTTAAAAAAATATTTTTTATATATTTTGAAACTAACTTTTATTTTATAGAGACGAAATATCGAAGTTCATAAGCGCCACGTCGCATTCTAACGGAAAAACGATGTTACGGAATTCATAGAAATTTAAACAAAATTTATTATTAAAATCTCCATAAAATTTCTGATAATTTGATGCTCATATGTCTTATGCATATACCGCCAAATGGCCTCTTTTACTTTTTTTACTAGATCTCCAAAATCGCTAAAACTAACTTCCCAAAAATTTAATCAGTTCTTCATCTTGTCCAAATCGGGCGCTCCTCTGCCAAAAACTAATCAGCACGTCTCCTCAGAAACCTCTGAAACGTAAAGATATATGAAAATTTTCATTTTCGATTTTTTTGCGATTACTATAACTTACCCTACGGGAAGTTAAAAAAACTATCGTTAAGAAATGAAGTGCCATACTTTTCTTTTTGATATAATGGCGAACCTTCTTACGGGCACTACCTATTTCTCATAGATATAATGGAATAATAATTGATAACGTGTGGCCTGGTGCTGCCCTAGGGCAGGTCCGTGAGCTAGTTTAACTCCAACTGGATTCAGGAAAAAGTAGTGTGAGGGATTTTCAATTGCCACTTCATACCCAAAATGGGCTTATTTTTATTTGGAAACTTATTTTTGATCTATTTTTTCAAGTAAAAATGGATTTCGCTGCTGCCCGATATCAGGTTGGCAGAGTGGGGCTTGAACTCGCCACCCCGTCCATACGATGTAGCTCACATTAGCCCGTTACGCCATTGAGCACCCATATATAATGCAATATGTAATGTTTGAATAAAATGTAAAATTTGTTTGATTACCTGACATAGTCCCGCTTGCAGTACGTTTTACCATCTCGGACGAAACACGTGCAGGACTCGTCTAAGAACTGCCTGCACTCTTGGCACTTGAGACAGGCGGCGTGCCACTCGAGATCAGGCGCCACCCGCAGTATGTATTGGTCGTGAATCTGACCGCCGCATCCCACGCACAGCGATAATCGTTGTTTTTCTGTGATGAAAATATTTTATTAGGATAGCAAATTAATTTGTATTTTTCGAATTCACATAATACTCCTTTTCAATTTTATACGAAATCATATTATATTTATTTTTCGATTTCTTTTTATATAAAACCGAAAATAGAATATATCATACACAAGTCGATGAACCGTTTCAGTAATAGCCTTAGTAATAAAAATAATTGAGTTCTTACAAAATACGTGTTTAGCAAACGAACTCGCTTAAACTACTTAAATATGTTGATTTTACAAAAATTTACAAAAGAAGGATATCCAGTGGTCAACATGTCTCAAAATGTGAATGCCAAAGCAGTGCAATGAAACGCGCTTGATAAAAGGCTAACTAAAGTTATCTGAGTCACACGTCGATTTTCAAAAAAAAAAATAGGTTGAGATATCGTTTAATTTAATATTAATAATATTAATAATATCAATCATTTTAGTTTAATTAGTTTAATATTAATAATATTAATCCCTGGATGCTTGTTGTTTCTTTCTTCACGTAAAATTCAAGTACTTATCATGGTCAACTGTACATACCATCATCAACTTTCTTTGTGATTTCGTCACAGAAAAAAAAGTCATATAATGTCAAAGAGAATAAACATATGATTCCCATCTTACGTGGTAGGTTTTTATCCATAGTTTGATCGCAATCAATTCTATTTATTATATTATTTCTTTAGTTAATTTGGTGTTTCAAAATTTTCTCATTCTTTGTGATAATGGCGATAATTATTCCTCAGTTTTTATCGATTTATTGCAACTTGCGCATATTTTTATTCGATTTATTGCAATTTTTAAGACTGTTAAACTAAACAAAGCTAAATACGTACTTCTTAAAAATTGCAATGGTGTTAAACTTTAACGTCAATATCAATCCTAACGACAATTCATGTATACCTACAGCACACGGTCAAATTGATCTACTATTAAAAAGTTATCTATTTTATAATTTAATTCAGATAATAATTGATTTATTCAATGTATATAAAATGAAGAAATATTCATGAAGTTTCATCTAAATTAATTTTTATATAAAAATAAAAAATATTAGTAATGAAACAAATAAAATTAAGTATTTATATAGAATACCATAAACACTAAGCAGATTGTTGAAAAATAATAATGAATGTGAATTTTTATTATTTACATTCTAGCCATTTTCAAACGTTGGAATTAAAAGTTATAAACAAAAATAGAAAAACCTTTTTAAGGTATATTTCGCGCAATAGAAAACGCGTTTAATTATTGGAGTATATTTTAAAACCCATTTTTAAATTAATCAAGAAAACAATCACATCTTTCGTTGAATTTCATACTATGTGTAGAATGATTTTCACTTCCCATAGAGTAAGTTAAAGTAATGGCCAAAAATAGAAAATGAAAATTTTCGTATTTTTACGTTTTAAAGGTTTCTGAACATTTTGCCATACCTTAGAAAAAATGGGCGCATGCTTGTGAATGTGTGTATGTATGTCAGAATCCAGTTTTTCGTTCACAATTTCGGGCGCACGGATCAAACGATTTGAATTATGAAAAGAAGAATTGAGAAGGGAAAACTGAGTAAGGTCACTTATAAACGTCAAATAAAAAGTTCCAGCAATTTGCCTTGAAACGCAATTCCATGCACCGCTAGTTTTTTTTTTTATATCAAACGTATCAAAAGTTGTATTTTCGGATATTTAGTTTTAGCAGGAATAACTAATTTCTAACTTGAAAAGCAATAAATCTAATTCTATATCAAGTCAAACCATGCCATAATGATTTTGCTACTACTACTAAGATTTGCACTGCGATGGCGGCTACAGACGTCCTTCGCCCAAACCCTTCTGAGCACACCACCGCGACTGCCACTTTTTTGTCTCTTTAAAAGCAATGTTATCTACAGATCATATTGTAGGATGCTGAATCCATGCAATAATGCAAACTTGTTCAAACAAACATACTTCATCTTTTCTCCCTTTGGACCCTGTCTCAAAATCAGTAGAGTCACTGTCACTACTGAACCCTGGCACAACCGTACGCGGTTTCCCTTACTAAACCCACGTTAAATTTGTCCAGTGATATATGCACTGACTTGTTATGATGCATTTTGTTGAAAGTAAAATCTTTATTATTTGTACTCATTAGGAATAAAATTATACATTAGACTTAAATAATATTCCTTAGTGACAGTAAATATCCGGAACAGTTTCAATATAATAAAGTAACTAATAAGTAGCCAAGATAATTCAGCGATACTGATTATTCTATAAACGAATTCTTAATAATCCTGTAGAATTGCTTCAATACCGATCTCGTGAGTGTGAAAATTAACGCACGCACGTAGCGTGCCGGCCATCATAATGCTATATTGTCGAGGTATATAGGAATAGGAATACAATAAAGAAAGTATAATAATAAAAAATACATATTCTGTGGGAGTGCCGGCATGCCATCACGCCCAGCGTTATACTAGAACGACAAAAGCCACTCCCTGAAATGTGTTTTCGAGAACGTGCGCGTTGTATTACATGTATCGAATGGTGTTTGAAGAAGGATAAATCGAATGGAAGTATTAAAATTTACGAAATGATCGGCTAACATGCGTATGAAACTAGTGGTGCATGACATCGCGCCTTAAGTAAATAAATATTCGATAATTTGATGTGCATATGTCTAATGATCAATTTTGATGAAATTATTTTTAACTTCTTTATTGGATCTCCAAAACTACTGGCCTCGCATTCCTAAAAATTTAGTCAATTTTTCAATCCGTCAATACAACTAAAATGCTTTATGAATCATTAAAATCGCGCGCTCCGTTCTCTCAAAAACTGAATTGCCATTTCTGCACTTTTTTCCCACTTTTTCACCAATAGGAATCGGATCATTGAAATCGATTGATCCAAACACACATACATTCCATTCATTTTTTTCTATTGTATGCCAAAATGAATTGAAGAAGGCTTTGAAGCGTAAAGACATTCAAAAATATTTATTTTTGATTTGTTTACGATTACTTTAATTTGCCCTATGGGAAGTTAATAATAAGTATCTTTAAAAGAAATATGATCAGCAATTGATAAAGTAAGGATGAATCGCATATACATGGTTTTTATCTACATAATAATTTCATCTATAATAATAATTCTATTATAATTTAATTATTATTAATATATATTAAATATTATTAATATATTATTTAATATTATAATAATTTTATTCATAATTTAATCTATATATTTATAAAACAAAAATTATAATTTTTATGCGAGAGGTATTTCTATTAATTATAGCAAAAAACTAGTTAAGTAGTTTTGATGGAAAAATATAATTTGTTTTTACAGAAAATCATATTGGTTTAGAAGCATAAATCATAAATGTTATTGCGATGAACGTTCAAGGCTTACTCGAAACTATTACGCTATTTTCAACATCGATGATAGTCTTTATATACGCAAGGTCATCCACGCATGTGATCAGAATGAAGCTACATGTGCATATATGTAGCACACAACCAATTTTCCGAAATCATCTTTTTTATAATTAAATTTTCATCGTATAATCGTAATTTAAGAAAAACGTTTTCACTATCAAAACTATCACAATACGAAGTTTGATCAAAAGCCCGGATGAGAACACCTGAAGTTTTCTCAGTATTAAAAATGCACAGCGCTGGGCTGCTGCATTTGGGAAATAGTTTATAGGGATACCAGTTGCTACTTTCACTAGCTGGCCCGGCAAACTTTGTTTAGCCATAAAAAATATTTCTAAAAATATTTCGTATAAAAAATTTCTAACTAGTGATTACTAACGATGTAATTTTCTACATAATAAACAAAGCAATATTATTGTTCATAATAATAAAATATGTTGGACACCAATTTTCCGTATAAAATAATTATGTTATGATACTGGTCTCTTTTGTTGAATAATCTCATGAGGTGGTAGTCCAAAACTGTTAAAAAGCTACTCAACCTAGCAATTTATACTTTACCGACTTCTAAAACATAACCTCCAAATGGCACAAACGTCAGAATAAAACATTTGTTCAACTTCAAAACAGTGACAACAAAAAGTTATGTGATAATACAAAGCACCTATGATAACATTGTCATTTGGCACTGGAGCGAAATCAGCTGTTTCAATATCGAGATCTTGTATTTTTGCTCTTAACAACGTAAAATCTGTCGAGTTTTCTCTTTATTCAGTTTCATCTATAATACTCCTACAACTTTCAACCGAATGGACGAAACAAAAAGCAAGAAAATAATGCTTTCAAAGCAAAATGTCACCTTGAGAACGAGCATAAATCTAAAACTGGTCGATCAATATAACTCTATATCTACTAATAACACATTGGAATTAACCAATGAGATACCGAATCCGATAGTTAAAAAATAATAATGCATATTTTTAGAATATTTATGAATTCGTTATTTCAAAATGGCTTAACCTGTCTTTACCAAAATCAGTGATGATCTCCGCGGATGGTCAAAATTAATTTCAATGAAAATTACTGGGAAATAAATACGGCCGACTTAATAGTAAACAAATATAGATACAGCTTAAGGGAAAGTATAGAGTATAATTATTTAAATCCAAATATGTATTTACAAATTTTCGTTGTAATAGTAATATTATCTAATTATTATCTTGTCAGTGGCCATTAAAACATGCAAATATCAAAAACTTTTCACAAAAATATAAGAATTATGAATAATTCACTAATCCATCCAGCTATATAAAAGAAAAATCTAATAGAATGTTTTCCAAAATACTATACTAAAAATTTTATGCATTAACTAAGTATCATTAGAAACAACGCACACATGATTTCTGGCAGAGCTTATAAGAACCATAATTAAAAATGCAGATAACTTTAGAATTAGGATCACTAAAAAAGCTATTGCTGCGATTGAATAAGAGTATGTGTGAAAATATTATTATCAGGCCATGAAGGTAAGTTCTCATAATATTTTCAAATAATAATTTCAATAAGGGA